AACCCAGCCCACTGCTATCTACATTTGTTACCTGTTGTTATTGATCGCTTGTGAAATTTTGAATTTTCCTGAGGGGTAAGATTGCAATTTTCAAAATTTTGGTGGCAAATAAGAGGATAGTGGCAAAGCGTCGTACTCGTACGAATAAATAAACCACAAAACCATGTCGGTGGTGAGAACTAGAAATAGCCAACATTGCTCTGGCTATACCGTTTTATGGTCCATGATTATTACTATTAGGCTCAAGGCCCAACCCAATCCAACCCCCCCAAATAGCCCAATTGAAAAACCCTTTTTGGGCCACTATTAACCCAGTCGATCTAGGAAATATTAAATGCAGTCCTCTCAGCTCTTTCTTCTCCGCGAGCGCGAGGGTCTGCACAGCTCCGCAGCAATGGCTTCCAAGTTTCTCCAGCTCTACGGTGAATACACTGCTTCAAATTCAATTCAATCCTCAATTCGTTTCTGTTCTTGAGTTTTCTTCTTACGAATTTCCAACGATGGTGATAGGTTACGACTTGCTGTTGGGATCAATCGCTGCATTTTATGTGTTCATGGTGCCGTATACTAAGGTTGAAGAAAGCTTCAATGTTCAGGTACTTTCACTCTATTGCTCTTCGATTCTTTCTAACTTTTCAGTTTCCAGAGCTTTGAATCTGATTTTCTGTGTTTTTTAGGCAATGCACGATATTCTTTATCATCGACATCACTTAGAAAATGTAAGTTCAGATCTCTTCTTCTTCTTTTAGTGTTGATTTTAGGACTAATTTGATGGTTGAATTTGGTATCAGTATGACCATAAGGAGTTCCCTGGTGTTGTACCTCGCACTTTCATAGGTTAGTTCTTTTTCTTTTATCTCGAGTTATTTATTTACTTATTTGTTTATTTTTTGTTGTTTTATGATGTGGTTGAGCTTGTAGAAGTTTGCATTAATTGTTCCCTATTCTCTTGTAGGTGCATTGCTTGTGTCAATTTTGGCATCTCCAATTGTATTCACAATGAGCTTGCTACATTTGCCAAAACTTTATAGTCTTATTGCAGGTTTGTGCTCTCGAACTGGATAATATTTTGGTTTTGGCAAGCCTTTGAAGTTTTTATGTCAAGTTCTTGTGTGTTTCTATGATACTTTTTCTTTCGTTTGTCTCAGTGTATAACAAAAACTTGTAATTATGTTATATGTTATGGTGATATATTTACCATTTAAAATCTCTTAATTTACACTCAAATTGTTGTCTTGTAGTACGGATGGTATTGGGTTGCATCATACTATGTACACTGCGGTTTTTCCGTGTTCAGGTGTGTATGTGCTTTTCATTATTTCTTACGGTTTTTTCATTAGAATTGAATTATTATCTTTGAGATAGCTTTATTTTTAAATTTTGATGCAGCTTTTTTTTTTTTCTTCAGCTTTTATCCCTTGACTTGTACTTCTTGTTTGAACAGGTTAGGAAAAAGTTTGGATATCAAGTAGAAGCATTCTTTGTAATATTAACAGCAATTCAGTTTCATTTGCTGTTCTATTGCACCCGTGGGCTTCCAAATGTACTAGCTTTGGGTGCAGGTAATTGTTTCTTGCAGCTCAACTCTGTATTTTTCTCTTTGCCTTGCTTATTGTTTGATTAAATGGAATTGCATTTGTCTGAAGTTGGACAATGCCTTTCATTGATTAATGTCTGCAGGTTTTATTTATTTAATTGCAAGTATATCAGTAAAAGCTTTTAGTTTCTCTCTAACTTTTCCCCACTTGTTCAGTCAATTTGGCCTATGGGCTTTGGCTGGAAGGGAGCATTTATGCAGCTTTGAACTGTCTTGTAAGTCTTCTTTTAATGACTTATCCATGCTTCTAAAAAAATTGCGCTAATCATGTTTTTGGTTCAATTTTAGGTTGAACACCGGGTATTTTATTGGACTTTTTCTTGACTTTTTATTGGAAAGTTTTTATGAGGTGATTTAGAGAATACATAGGTTACTATTGTGCCAAATATATTTGATTATAGTGTGAATTGTGATAACATGAGTTTTTAAGAGCAATAATCCTTTCTTGATCATTAGTTACTAGCAAATCTCTGAAGTCTGACACAATTTATTTTCAGTTTTCTGTCACATGCACAATTTTTTTTCCCTTTCCAACAAGAATATCTAGTCAAATTTATTATTTTAATGCAAATTATGTGGATATCTTCTTATATCTCTTTGCTTTTCTAATTTCCAGATTTTTGCTACAATCATCTTTAGATGTGATATTTTGTTACTTCTTTGTCCTCTTGGAGTGGAGCTTTTGTTGGTATGTTGCTGTCTACTTGTTCTCTCTTTTTTCCCATCCTGCCTTCAATCTCTGACGCAATAAAAGAAACTATTCTAGGATATCTTTAGTGCTACCTTTATTTATTTTTTTTTTAAAATTACAATTTTACCGCTACCACCTATTGGCTATTGTGCATACATAAGAATGTTGCACGTGCAAAAATATGTCAAGCAGTTAAGATATATCACTTTTTTATCGGCAAGTTAAGATATGTCATTTAATTGGTGCTTGACCATGAGAATTTTGATTATCATTAACAGACCAGATCGATATCGCTATTGAAAGCCCTAAAGTACTGCATTGCAGTTGCAGTGCTGTGCATAGGTTGGTAACTTGTCTCTTGTTCATCTTAAAGTATTTTAGTACTAATAATTCATTAATATCTACTTGTCAAATTCTCCTCAGCACAGGTCTTACAGTATCTATTGATTCAATTTTCTGGAAGAGGTTTTTGTGGCCTGAATTTGAAGTTTTTTGGTTCAACTCAGTTCTTAATCGGAGTTCTGAGTGGGGTGTATCCTTCTTTTGAAAGAAATTTCTGTTGCACGAACTTATTTCTCTTGCAGAATTTGAAATGGTATTTTTTTACTAAAATTTCTACTTTATAGGGAATTACCTTCTTTCTTTCCCCCATCCCCTTTTTAAGCACGCATTTTACAACTGAAAAGGTAAGCCTTTGAGTTTGCTTAGTTATCTTGTCACCCCATATCATTTCACAATTTATTTTCCTTAATGTTATTCTATTATTAGACACATTCCTTTCACTGGTATTTTACTTCAGCACTCCCTCGCTCATTACTTGCTGCATACCCACTTTTCATGGTGAGTCTTTGCATTTCTTAAATAAAAACATACTTCTTGGTTAGCAAATCTTTTACCTCTTTTCTTGGTTAATAATGGTTATGTTAACACCACCCTTATCCACTTCATTTTTGATACATTTTGCAGCTTGGGTTCATACTTGACAGGAGGGTTTGGCCCTTTGTTCTTCCAGTTCTCTCTTTTGTCATACTTTACTCTAAACTTTCACACAAGGTGTTGCAGAAAATTGTCTGCATAAGTTGCTTCCTTCAATTACATTGTTTAAGAAAACATGCACATACATATGATCATATTTTTCATTGATCCAGGAGCTCCGTTTCATTATCAGTTCAGTTCCTGTCTTCAACTTATCTGCTGCAATTGCAGCTAGTAGAATGTATGTCATTTCCTTTTCCTTTTCTTTATACTAGATAAAACTGTTGGGTATTTAGCAATGGTGATAAAGTGTCAAAATGGTTAATGCAGTTATTTTGCCCTCCTTTTGGAATTTACAAAGGAGAAGTGACTTATTTTATTGTTATTATTATTTCTGGTAACATAGGAAATCTTTTTTGACATTTATTACAGCTATAACAACAGGAAGAAGAGTCTCTGGAAAATTTTCAATTTAATTATGCTGGGATTGCTGTTAATCAGGTTGGTTGATAGGTTATCTGTTTATTCATAAATGAATAATTTACTTCCCTTATATCTATTCATATTGTCATATTATATCCTGTTCTGTAGTCTAGGCTGCACAGTCATTACTTTTATGGCCTCCTATGAGAATTATCCCAGTGGTTATGCATTGAAGAAGTTGCATAACGTTGGTAAGCTCTTTCCTTTATATCTACACACACACATATAGTTGTTACCAAAATCTTTATTTTGCCCTTCATTATGACGGCCAAAAACATTTTTTTTTTCTTTTCTGTATCATTCTGCAAATGCAATTGGTTATTTTATTTTCCCATTTGATTTTGATTGTTTTGACAGGTGGTATTGCCAACAAGAGCAATGAACTCTGGGTTCATATTGATCCATTTTCAGCCATGAATGGAATATCCCTCTTTTGTGAAGATGATTTTCCATGGAGGTATACTCAATACTTGATTCCTTTTGTTTGTGGTAATCTAATCAGCTCTGTTATTTGTGTTGTACCATTTTAGTTGATACGTGGCAATATGATTAAATTTTAGAAGCAGTGGTCATAATATGAGGGAAAACATGATTCTTAGCTTTATTTGCATGTACATGAAGAGTTGAAACAAGTGGACCATGAATTTAATAATGTGTCTGTATAAAGAGGGGAAAATCTCAAAATATGAAGGCATCTCTTTGGGTTTAATTAAATTGTATGCTCACTCTTTTTGTTAGTTTCTGTTCCTTATACTTAATGCAAATGTGGAGGATGGCCAATTGAGATATATGTGTGTGTGTGTGTGGAGGATTGTAAAAGCATGCTGATGATCAAATTGTGAAGTCAAAATTGAATTGAAGGCAGCATACTATTATGAAAATTAAGCTTTGTTTGCTTATTTATTGGAAAACATGTTATTTTATGCCATTTCATCATTTCTACAAATGAAAATCTCTGTCCCTGTGACAACGATGCAAGTGTACAATGCAGATACTCTAAGGAAGAAGGGATTAGTCTTAAAGAATTTGGTCAGAGAAATTTCACCTATCTTATAAAGTGAGTTACTCCGTCATTTTATTACCTTTTGACATGTGAACTGTGATAGACTGATAGGAAAATACATCCTTCTGCTCAATTTCTTGAGATACAACTCTCAGAAAGTTAGCCTTTATTTCACCAAGACTTGCATAAATTTGATTGATTTCAACTTGGCACTTTGAAGTTAAAAAGATGCCGAACTCTCATACTAAGGAGAGCAATGAACTCTAAGGCCTTTAGCTAAATTGTCTATGACTGATTTTATTCTTCTCTATAACAGTGAACATTCTGCTATTGATGGATTCAAGTGTTTATTCAGTGAAAATGGGTTCTCTAGGATTCGTCTCCAACCGGGGTTTCCACCCATCTTACTGGTAGGAAAATAAATATAAATCTCTTGTGAGGGACGTTATCATATCACCACAACTGAAAATTCTATTCGGAATATACTCTGCAGGTTCTAGAACCCAAAGTTTATGTTCATGGAAATATGAAAAATGAAGAAGTCATGGGAAAAAATTGGCCAGGATGCTCATGAACTCAAGGAATCAAATCTGTACGTTTAAAATTGCTCCAGAGAAATAGAGCTGCCAAACACTCATTGTCCCTTCCTGTTTACGCCCTTGATACGTTTAGCAGATGGTAAGTTAACTTGTACAGTGAACTGAGTTCTCAAATTGCTATTGCCATTGCGATTATGAAATTGTATCTTAAAGAATAGGTCTTTCGATAATCATATGAAATTAAAACGCTTGGAAACCTTAGATGGACTTTTCCACTTACGGCAATGAGCCAAAGACCATGAACTATTCTATATTTATCCATTTCTGGTCTCGGCTATATGGCTTTGTTATTTCAAAATAGAAATGGTTTGAATTTTTATTTTTATTTTTTTATATATATGTAACCTTAGGTAATTAAGCACTTTTTGTGTGGTATAGGTAGTATATGAATGACTTTTTTACAACTTATTTTATAATATATAAATAATAATTGATATTTTAAAACAGAGGGGGTAATTATATGTCCTAAATGAATTAATGTGTAAAAAGGATGAGGTAAGAATTTTTTAATATGTGGGCACAAGATAGGGTTTTTTTTATTGTATTTTTTTATTAATAATTTAAATAAAAAAGTTCATTTTAATTTTATTAATTATTTAATTAAAATATTTCATGTGATGTTAGTAATAAAAATAAAGTTTAATTTTGTAATTTTTTATATAAATTAATGAATAAAAGATACAATAAATATATTTTTACATCACAAATTTGAGAAACTTTTAGGACTATTTCTACTCTTTTTTGTATATATAGGTAGACTTGAAAAATACTTTTATGGAAAAAAATCACTTTTATGGAAAAAAAAAAGATATTTTTGTGTGTGAATTAGTAATTTGTAATTATTTTTAGATGATTAAGAAGTTGAAGCCATAAAAGAAGAAAAAAAATAATGATAATAATATCATTTTAGCATGTGATATTATAAATTTATAATAAAATATATTATTAAGTTATTAATAAATTTATTTATAGTATTACATATATTTATGTATATGTAGTTGTTTATTTAATATTCTTAAATTTAAAATAAAAAATGAACATCAGGAATTAGAAAAGGAAAATAAATAAAAAATCAAAAGGAAAAGGGTTGGCGACCTTATCTTTCAAAACCGAAACAGAAATACGGAAGAAGGCTCCGCTCCCTGACCCGAAAAACATCAGTCTTCACTCGCTGTCTCCTACAACCCTAGCCAAGAATTATGCTTCTCCAACCTTCATCTCTGCATACCCGCCATGTTTCTCTCCCGTCGAGCTTTTCTTGCTCTCGGAACCTCCCATTCAAAGTACCCCATCTCACCCTTATCAAAGTCCCAGAGTTTCAGAAGCTCTCCGTCACATGCTCCATTTCGCAAATCCACAGTTATGGAACTGTCGACTACGAGAGGAGACCCATGATCAAATGGAACTCTATATTCAAGAAAATATCGCTGATGGAGAAGCCTGAATTGGGTTCGGCGACTGTGCTGAATGAGTTTGAGAAAGGAGGGAGGAAGCTCACCAAATGGGAGCTTTGTAGGGTCGTCAGGGAACTGAGGAAATTCAAGCGCTACAGACAAGCTCTTGAGGTAAAGTGGGGACTTTGGTACAGTAATTTTGATTTTCATATTATTTTGCTTTCTGGGTATTTGCCATTTCCAATTGCAATCTAGTGAAATACTCTATAAATTGCTGGACTGTTAATGGTGGCTAGCAAGTTCTTGAGTCTGAGTGCCATTGGTTGATTAATTATTGAAGGGTTCATGATGTTATAGGGATTGATTCGTGGAAAGCTGAATAAACCTTAGAATAATTGCAGGCAATTAATGTATCTCATGGCTGCATATAATCTGCTTGCTATCAGGTTTATTGGAAAATCCTCTTTTCTATGTTTGAACCAAGTAGAGTGGGAGATATTCTTGCATCATGCACTTGAATTGCTAAACAGAAGATTATTATTTTTTTCCTTATTAAGTAACGATGCATATGTTTGCTTATAGTATCTTATCATAAATCTTCAAGCTATGAGTTTATGACATACCTTATCATCAGTTTTAACTTCCCAACATATTGTAGGTTTATGATTGGATGAACAATAGAGTTGAGAGGTTCAGATTCTCTGCGAGTGATGCTGCCATTCAATTAGACCTTATTGCTAAAGTGCGTGGAGTTTCAAGTGCTGAAGATTTTTTCCTTAACCTGCCAGATACTTTGAAGGACAAGAGGGTATATGGGTCTCTTCTAAATGGCTATGTGCGGGCTAGAATGAGAGACAAGGCAGAGTCATTAATTGAAAAGATGAGGGACAAAGGTTATGTCAGGCATCCACTTCCATTTAACGTAATGATGACTCTCTACATGAACCTCAAGGAGTATGATAAAGTTGACTCTATGGTTGAGGAAATGAAGCAGAAAGGGATACCACTGGACTTGTATTCCTACAATATCTGGTTAACATCATGTGGATCCCAGGGATCTGTAGAAAAGATGGAGCAAGTGTGTGAAGAGATGAAAGCGGATCGAAACATCAACCCACATTGGACTACATTCAGCACATTGGCAACAATGTATATCAATATGGGGTTGTTTGAAAAGGCTGAAGAGTGTTTGAGGAAGGTTGAGAGTATAATCACTGGCCGGGATCGTATGCCTTATCATTATCTTGTAAGTCTGTATGGTACCATTGGCAAAAAAGAGGAGGTATATCGGGCTTGGAAGGTCTACAAATCTATGTTTCCCAGTATTCCAAATATGGGTTATCATGCTATGATCTCATCCCTTGTTCGAATTGGAGATATTGAAGGGGCAGAAAACATTTATGATGAATGGTTGTCAGTTAAATCATCTTATGATCCAAGAGTAGTGAATCTTATGATGGATGCATACAACAAAGAAGGAAATTTGGACAAAGCTGAAAGTCTATTCAATCAAATGGTTGAAGCTGGAGGAAAGCCAAATCCAACTTCATGGGAGATTCTTGCTGAAGGGCATATTAGAGATCAGAGAATTTCTGAGGCTTTATCTTGCCTGAAGGAGGCGTTTGCAATTAGACACTTAAAGAGTTGGAAGCCAAAGCCTGTAAGTGTTTTAGCCTTCTTTGATCTCTGTGAGGAAGAAGCTGATGCTGCAAGTAGGGATGTTTTAGTGGGATTATTGAGGCAATCAGGATTTCTGAAAAGTGAAGCTTATGCATCACTTATTGGCTTATCTGATGAAGCAGTCATTGGCAATGAATTGTTAAGGGGTAGAGATAGAACTGATAGCAGCAGTGCCAGCAATGAGGAAGAGAAAGATTCTGAAGCACTTCTCAGCCAACTGCAGGGCAGTGCATGATATGGCTATTGCTTCTTTCTTTCCAGAGGGACTTCACATTGCTGTTAATCTTGGTTGAAGGAAAGTCCATTATTATTTTGTTGGCCAACGTCTATTACTTATTTTAATGGACCTGAAGTATGAGAGCTTTGATATCTAGTTCTGCTAAGCCAGGAACGTGGGTCCAGAGACTCTCTTGGTGAGAAAAGAACACTTTCCTTTATCTACTATTAAAGATTTTGCATCAATTTTTATACAGGTCTCTGTAAGTGTGGGAACGTAGTTTTCACTGCATTTGTGGAAAAAACGTGAATCATATCACAGTTTCATGACTCAATTGTCCGACTCTCTAATTGAGTTTAATATAATAATCAGATTGTTTTATAATTGACATGTTTGATTAAGATAGTGCATTGCTAATCAACTTGCTTTAACAGGTAATGTGATTGAAAGGAAGCAGCTTCTTTGTTGTGCTTTCTCTTTGACAATGACTTTACGCCATTATATCTGAATTGCATGGATTCAACATGCTTCACATACAAATTTTTGGTCTCTGTATAAAATAAAGCCTAATTAACTACACAGATGTTCAATCTTTCTATGCTGTATAAAGATGGATGAAGTCCGCGGTGGAAGAATAATACTTTCTCAAGAAATTAAAAAGGAAAAAATATGCATGTGTTTGTCTTAAATCTTTTCAGGGAGCTGTCTTGACATGATTGGTAGCTATCCAAAAACTTAGGAGGATTATCAATGGTTGAATACAAAGCTTTTAGTGAGCTTAAAGGGAACCACCATGTATTAAGGAGGAGGAAACATGTGAGTTAGCTTGATTTTGTTTTTATCGTTCAGTTATTGTATTTTTAGTATAAAAAGTGCACTATATTTTGTGGTAGCAAAGTTATGATGGTAGGGGGAGAGGACTCACATGGGGTTAGGGAGGTTGGAGGGTTTTCTTTTCTTTTCTTTTTCTTCTTTTTTTTTTTTTTTAACTCAAAATAGGACTCACAAGATTAGTCCTAATTTCCAAATTCAACTTCTATGCAAAGTTAATCCAAAATTAAACAAAAGTTCATTAAGGTAACAATCTAAGTTGAAATCATATTGATCCACAAATCATGATTAAATATTCAAATTTCTAAAATAACTAAGCAGACTAATTTTTTAAAGACTAAAATGGAGTAGTAGTTTTCTTAAGGCCAAAAAATATTATGGAGTAGTGATTTTTAGTTTGTAATTAAGATTCTGTCAAAAATTATTCATTAAGAGTTGGGGCTAATCTCTAAAGACAGAATTAAGAGGCTTAACTGTCATTAGCAAGTCATGAACAGTTGCTGTAAAGTCAAGCAAAATTCTTTTTCTTTTTCAACTCTCTTAAAATAATAGGTCATATGCCATGAATTTGAATGATATATTGTTTCCCTGGATGGATATGCCAGTAAAATGCCCCTTTCTATGAGATGGCTAAAACAACATAAACTTGACAACAAATCTTCATCACTACATATAATCTATTTTCTTTTCCTA